GAGACTAATGGCATTTGTCGGTTTGTGGCTAAATATTTTCTCTCGAGCTGCTTATTGGTTGCTTCGTCGCGTTAGCATAAAGACCAATTCTACAATTCAAGAGACACTCCTAGAAATCCAAATTTTCGATGAACACACTCGTAAACCTTGTGTTTTTATGACATTTAATTTTCTATGATCAAAACAAAATGTTTTGTTGTACGATTCACCAGAATTTATGTAGAACATCATTTGGATCGCATTTAGCGAAAAGAAACCAGCGCAATTACAGTGTTTTCAAAACCGCGCAACTTCTTCTTTTCCTTTAAAAATACTCAATGTATGTACAGTCTTAAAATTAACTCAATTCTTTTCTTTTAAAATTAACAATTTTTAGGTGAGAAGTAAAAACAGTTTAGCAAACTGTTGCTAAAAACAGTTTGCTAGTCAGGGTGATTTTTTTTAGCTCATTATGGAGAAGCAACGTTTTTTAAACACCGGTAATTGCGCTTGTTCCTTTTTGCTAAATGTAATTCATTTTTGTTCAGAAACAAGCAGATCGATTGCGAAAACTGGCTCCATTGGTGTGCCTTGTGTCACTCTGTGTTACTGTCTCGTGTTGATTTTGACTGTCGCACAAGCTTTGACAATTTACTAGCATTAATTAAAAAGTCGTCGAAAATTTAATTTCACCTCGCGAATGTAGACAAACACGAACCCCGTGAATTTTCGAGAGTGCAGATATTTTTAGTGTAAATTTTAGCGTAATTTAGTGTAAAAGTTTTTAGTGTAATTTAACAATTTAAAGTTTTTTAGTGTTTTGTTATGTCATCTTCACTAATCCGAACAATGTGCCGCCTGTCCCCAAACAAGCAGTTCTAAGCACTCTGGTTCAAAAACCATGTAATACAAACCGTAGTCGCTCAGAGGCCATGAATGGATGGCAAAACCACCGCTCATAAGATTCATGATTCGCATCTTTGGATTATTTTTCTCTTTTAAATTAATTAATTAATTAATTTATTTATTTTTTCAAGTTATATGAGTTCGCACAGATAATACAGAGCAGGGTTGAAGAGACATTTTTTTGGAACGGTTCCCAAACATATTATATAGGACAACTCTATTCACGTTGATACCCCTCCCATCATTACTTTAAAAAATAAGTTTCCTCCACTATTTTATCTTTTGATTCCTCTTTTTCATCAAAGGCGAATCCATCAATTTGGCAACACCGGATTCCCTCCATTTAAAGCTATGTTAAAAAATCGATTCTTGTCGGAGCACCTGGCCCCTCCAAAAATCGATACATTCCCATAGCTTTAAATGGTGAATAACAATGTTGTCAATTTGCTGAATCCGCCAACGTTTTCGTTCAGCAGCACATGAGTACCGCACAAAGTGAAAAGCGCCCCCACCCTACGGCGTAAACATGAGCAATTAAAACGCCGGTCGGTTGTTAAAAGACTCGACTAAATAAGTAACGTGCGCCAGACAACTCTGCGCGTGCAAATTAGCCTTTTTTTACGTTCTCCGAAGAGAGGGTTTTATCGCGAGGGGGCTACAGGGTGGGGCACAGGGGCATGCCGTGTTCAGCCTCGGAGGATATCGACTCCCCAAGCCCTTACACCTCCGCCCCCCACCCCCTCTCTCGGTCGTAAGGTCCCTGGGCCGAACAGGGTGTGGGGTAGGCTGGGCAGCCAGCGTCTCAAAGCTATAAAATAGAGGCAGCTTCGTGAACTGTATAGATTACCCGTAATGTTTTCACGGACCGGCGCGGCAAGGGAAGGTGGTCGTGGCTATATTGCGATTGCAAGGTTGTCGATGACAGAGTGTTCGTTTTACGAATTTGCCTATTTGGACGGCGCTCAGCAGAAAGGAACCAAGCCAAATCATATAATGCCAAATTTAACTGGGAAATTTGATTTTTTAAAAGGGAACTTTCATGCGGGTTCTTTTGAAAATTTTAGGAATTTGCTTCGTACTCTGCAGATAATGCTCTGAACTTTGCACAAAAATCCGCACAGCCGTTTTTATGTGAAAAAAGTAAAAGTTAAGTTGCCTGATTAAATTTTGCAATAGCTGATGTGGCTTGGTTCCTTTCTGCGTAACGCATTCCATTTAAAAATTGAGGTAAAGAAAAGTCGCATGCCGGTGCAAACCTTTTTTGGTATATAGACTGATTGTTCCCATGATATGTAGATTATAATTAAAGAAGAAACTGAAAATACATTTTGTTGGTCGAAAAAAGTGCTCTGACTTTTAGAAACGATGGTCATTGCTTATTCAGTCAATTGTGTTCATAGCAGCCGATTTTTCTACGCTTTACGTTTCTAGGTTCCGATTTTACGTGTAAATCACCATCAATTTAAACCATTAGCCAACTGATATTTCTCTTTGAGGGACCTGTGGCAAACACTGTTATGAGTGCCGTTTTTGATGGGAAAAACTTTACAAGTGTAAAATCTGCGTAAGCTACCGAATTGGTACTTCTCTCACCCGAAGAGAATCGAAAAAGAATGAAACATCGTGACTTATGGCAACATGCGTGCATCCATTCATAAAAAGTAACATGAAAAACATCCCCTTTTTTCAATATAAACGACGATTAATATTAAGCACTTCATTACGCAACTGTAACCACTAAACTCTCATTACAGCGCGTGCAAGTAGTGCTTTAGTGAAATTAGTAGTAAACATTGAGTGAATCCTTTAAATCGTTTTCCAACGTTGTTGTATTTTGGTCACCTCGGATGGGTTTTTTTCTGGATTTGGGATAGGGGAGTATGAAAATCAACTTAATGCTAATATGTTCGTGTGATCTATTTTTTGTTGTGTTGTCCCACTGATCGGCTCATCTGAGCTTGCTTGTGGGAGAGTACAATGCTTTTAACATACACTGAAAAAGCTGCACAAGAGAGCAAAAAATAATGAATAAACTTACTGAAGGCAACTTTGTAACCTATCCCTTCACTTGATGCCATTGCTCCTTGTTTGTGCAAATAATGTGTTATCGCCACGCGATTCCACGCTCGCCTTTAACCGCCTCCTTATTTTTCATCCACTCATCTCTCTTTTTGCACACTCTAAAGCCGCTACGACTGCTGGCCAGATTTCACGCTCTTGATGTAATCGATGCAAACTGTCAATTATTCACGTGCCTTATCAAAAAAGCAAGCACTATCTGAGGTGTAATTCAAGTAAATTTCTGTCCTACTCGATCAGAAGAGGATCCAGCAATTTGGCAACACAGGGGTTCCTCCATTTAAACCTATGCTGAATAATCGATTCTTGTTGGAGCACCTGGCCCTTCAAGAATCGATATATTTCCGCAGGTTTAAATGGAGAAAAAAATGTTGCCAATTTGCTGGATCCGTTCCTTTCAAATCATATATTATGTTTGAGACCCTCGCATGTTGCAATCAGCTGTACAAAAATCAATCAATCATAAAATCACATCAAAATCATCTAAATCAATGCTAATCAATGCTTTTTGTCGATTGTACTCATTGTAGCAAATGAGGCAGCTACTTTGAGTACAAAGTACACATCACTATTCTATTTTTACCAGAGGTGATCAATTCTCCTGCTCAATTATTTGCTCAAATGAGTCTATAGATACAGTATTACGCATGCTCAAAAAATGATAATGCATTATTTTTCAGTATCATAAAGTTTGAAAACACTCATCCTAGTCTTCGTCTAGCTAAATCATCAAAGATGCTTCCCCCGCAACAGTTTTTCCAAGATTGCGTTAAAGTCCAACCTTAAGATCTAGTAATAACTTGAAAGTTATGTGTATTCAAATACTCCTTTAAACTCGGTGCCAAGTATTATATCTGGCGTGCTTCGAATTGCGATTTACGACTTCAATCTTTCCTCAGCGGCGGGTATGATATTCAGACTGATGCTCTTCTCGCCAACTGTGTTGCTGCAAGGCCCTGGTGCCAAGCTATCAGCGCTCTGAAAGCCGCTCTTAGTGCGCGTAGCTAATTATGAGGCTTCAAGATCGCTGTAATTAATGTCGTATTCGCGTGCAAATTCCCGCTTTGCACTCGCCAAGCTGTTTCGCATATTTGTTTTTCTTTCAGAATCAAACGACACGACTTCAGTCTCGTATCTTGTGCAGTATGGATTTTACATTTGCAGTACAAATCAAACATAAATAATTGTCACCGAGTATGCGTACGTATATTCGCCATGCGACGGGAGATTATACGTTTTTCAGAAAATTAGTGGCCTCAAGGTTGCGATCGACTTGTACTTTATGTACCTTTTTTTATAAGCAAACATGGAAAATTAGTGGTTGATCTCGCTCGATTTTTCTTCATCTCGCAATCTTTCACGATTGTTGAAACGGAGCTTTTAGAAAGGAAAACTTAAAACTTTGAGATCAGTTTCAAAATTAACGTTGACATTCGTTCTCCAGTGCATGTCGGTAGATAGTTATTGGACAAAATCAGGTATTTCCTGTCACTTGAACCTTGAAAATGTCAACATTCAGCGTATGTTTTCCTGTAAAATCTGTTGGCAACGCATGCATACGGACTAAGCACATCAAAATGATAGCTTCATTGAGAGTCAATTTTTACACATCTCGTTTAACCTTCGGTAGCTATTTTTTGCATTTTTTTATTCGGAAAAGTAAGTTTTATGTATGTTTCAAGTTTCAATACTATTTTTGGACCTACTGGAATCGGAGGAAACCATTAGACTTAACCATAGGTTGGAGGTTAACATGCACTCGAAGCAAGTATTCATTCATAACTGAGGATTGATGAGAAATCGAAAGCGATTGAACTGGCTTGCAGAATACATTCATAAGAGTCGCTTTCGCTGCGTTCTCTGGCGCTCAGCGACGCCTAACCGCCACAGCACCCGGTCCTCTCACGACTCGTAAGGGAGTTGGCACTTCCTCATTTCATTTAAAACCCCATTACATGTCGCCACTCTTTCACTGGGCGTCCCCCTCGCCTCCTCCAAGGAGGAACCCAATTTCAGAATAATGGAAGAATATTTACCTGGTTGGGTTGCTGGCAGAAGCAGGTGATGCGTCCGGCAGTGCAGGCACACCCCGGTTCGTCGCAGATCGAGGTGACAGTGTCCGTTTCGGCCTGGTCCGAGGACATGGCGCCCGCGGGAGCGGGCATCGAAGCCGCGACCACCAGCGCTAGCACCCACAGCACCACCACTAGGCTCCCTCGGCCCGAACATGATATCACAGTTTCGCTCAGTCTTCTCAAAGCCCCTCGCGGGGCGGCTCTACGTATCCTGGGTATGCCTGGATCGGCCGTGCCTTGGGGGGCTGCGTGTGGGGGGTGCTGGGGCCCATGTGGGGGTTGCTGGGGCCCATGTGGGGGGTGCTGGGGCCCAGGGGGTGGCGCCCCGCCGGAGTCGCGTTGGGCCTCGTGGCGCATCGTGGCGGCGCCTCATCGTAGCCGCATGTCCTGCCTCAGCCAAGGTGAAGCCCCAGCTGCCACGCCTCTTCCTGCGGGACAGAAATTCGTGTTATCGGTTATCTTTCGAGTGCAGAGATAAGCGCCCCCCGTGAGTTTGCCGCTCCGAGCGCGAATTCGTCGCGACGCCGAAGTAAGGGCACATCCCCGTGTGTGCATGAGCCCCGAGAAGCATAGAGCTAGACGGAAATCAGGGCTCATGTGGATGTCCAGGTGCGTCCTTACAACGGAGGAGCGACGGATTGTGAAACGGATCGAGTAGCTCTTGCTCAACTTTCGAGGACGTGTCGTCTCGGAAATAGTGGAAAAAATTAAAGGAGAAATTATTTCCGCGGTGGATGTTGCGTATCCCTACCTGCGAAACCCTGAACTCAAATCAGGTGATTAGTTTTAACAGCGGGATCATTATTGACATTGATAGACAAAGCGATGGGCAAAGAAGACACAGGGAACATGGAGTGATCCGTTTGTTTGAAATGAGCGGTCGATATAGACTAAATGGGAAAATGATGTCGCCGTTAATTTGTCTATTACTCACCTGCTTCGTCCATTGCAACCACCAATTTTCACCGATAGGATAGCTTCATTTTCAGTTCGTCTTCTTTGACCGTCCCTTTGTCTATCAATTTCAATAATCAGCTCGCTGGAGTCCTTGCACGAGGTAAGAGACCTTAAATTCAAAAGTCTTAGCTCAGATCAATTATAACATTGCAACATGGTAGTAACAGGTGAACTCACGAGAACGTGTAGTGAAATCTGTGACCTTAGTTGGGTTTAGATTGAACATGCAACTAAACCAACTCCCTGACAAAGCTTAGAGTATCACAAACAATGAAGGCGCTCCAAGACGAGATCATACTTTTGAGGGTCTTCACCCACCAGACCTGCGTTAAATTCCCGCGTAGTTGTGATTTATTGTAAAATCATGTGAGCCGCCTGCAAATTTCCGGCGACTTCTAGTTGCTTTTGCTATATAAACAAATGATATTGCTGATGCGGAAATAAAAGTCAGAATCAACGGTGAAAAATTAGGAAGTTTGCCACCGTCCCTCGGTGCTTCTCTTCCTGATAAACTTGTTGGACGGCCTCGATCGCTCTTGACGGGTACAACTTCGATTTTAAATTCGTTTCGTCTCGCAAGATACATTTTTATCCTCAAATTTCTTTGAAATCTAGAGAGTTGTCGAAACATTATATGTTCGAAGAGCTAGAAATGTTAGGGAAAAGTTAGCAAATTTTGAAATTCAAGAATGGAACTTGTTACCCTCGTATCTTGCCTAGCTGCTTCGTGCATAACGATTATGATTGTAAAACTCAATAAAAAATGTTACCCGTTGAGAACTGAGAAAATATTTAATTTTCATATATTACGCTCTTTGTTCGTCGATATTAAGACTTTGCAATGCTACGAAAAAATCAAAATGGACCACTAGATAATGTACGAATTTCAGCATTCTGATACATGTTTCTTAACCAAAATTTTACGTAAAACACGATGCACACAACGAAAATTACCGAAATTAACTCCTTACGAACATATTTAATGATTTTTAATGCGTGAATTCAGACCACCCGCTCATGAAAACTCAATGCTCTACGTGATTCACATCGCGCGCTAAACGTTATCATGACAGTCTCTGCGATATAAAAATCTGGCAACCTCAATCTTGACGCTTTGGCTCAGTTGTAGCAAATTGCTAATAGTTTGAACAACACAGGATGGGAAATGAACATTGCTCGATTGAGAAGCTTGCTGAAACCGTTGTAGTTGGCGATTTGACTCACGTAGAGTTTTGAGTTTCTTGTGAGCGGGCAGTTCAAATTCCTCGTAACCAATGTGAAATAAAAACGTTAATATCTTCGTTAGGAGTTGGTTTCCGTAATTTTCGTTGTGTGAATCGTTTTCTACGTGAAATTCTGGTTAAGAAACATGTATCAGATCGTTTAAATTCGTACCTTGTCTAGTGGTCCATTGCATACATCCCAAAATTCCCAAAGAGACCAATGTCGATTGCCTTGTGCAATACACAGAAGAAATGGGGAGTATCCATTGCACTCCAATTATCAAGTCATTGTTGGCGCGTATACGTAGTATACCGCCTTTGCGATCGTTTCGACCCCCCCCTCGATACAATAACCGAGTCCNTAAGTCATCGTTTTTATACTGGATATCATAGGAACTAGATCTAAATTTTGAAAGGCAATCCAGAGGTAAAGACGGAAATTATTCAAATCTCCCTCCCCCGAAGTCTTCCTGCACCGCGTATCCGTCCTTATAATCGTAATTAATTCAACTGCAGCCAAATTAGTCCGTAACTATGCGGAGAATGCACTCCGCACTACAGGATGGGAATGCGAACCGTTCGACTAAATACCCAAGTCAAACCTGCTGACGAGATGATACGATTTTAATGCGTGTGAGTTTATGAGAGTCACGTTCAAAGCAGCGGTGGCACCCACCTCCCCCCGCCGAACCGCCAAATATACCTCGACGCTCATGTTTGCACAAATGAATCGCCCGATCGCGAATTTCTGGAAAGCCTCGCAAACACAGGACCTGCCCGGGTGTTAATGACGATGTCAAAACGTCATCAGACAAAAGGAGAAGAAGATACGCTGTGAGCGAGACGAGGCTCAGTGGATCGAGTCAGTGTGAGAGGTCGGACATGATTTAAAAACTTAAAAAGCGCATATCTTCAGTAATATGAAATGTTAGTGTTTTAAACGTAGTTTCATTGGTTTTCTCGTATAATTTTCGATAGAAAGCATCCCTTATAGTTAAAATTGTGACGAGGTAAACGTAATTTTTTACAAATTTTGTCAAAAATTTCATGCCCGGCTTCTTCCAAAAACTCGTTCCACTGAGCGAAGGATACAACTTGGTGTGAAAACGCGCGCCCACTCGCCGAATCGAGGAACATGGAAAGAATTTCAACGGAGTAGATAACAGCTGGGAAACAGTCGCTTTGAGGAAGTGTTTTTCGAGTCAGTAATTTAGAGGAAGCATCTAAATGCTGGATTTGGATGGAAATTATGATATACGTCTTAAAATTATTAGATAATTAACCTAACTTAGGATCCCTTATGTTTTCGGAAAGTATGGACGGCAAGTTGGATCGCATTTGGAAAAAAGGAACCAGCGCGATTACAGTGTTTTCAAAATTGTTGCAACTTTTTCCCCCATTTAGAAATACTTAATACAAGTACAGTATTAAAATTTACACAATTATTTCCATTTAAAATTAACAAGTCAATGGTGGAAGCAAAAACTATTTGCTATTACGGGAGGTTTTTTAGATCATTATGAAGCAGCAACATTTATACAACACTGTAATCGCGCTTTTTTTTTTTTTGCTAATTTAGCAAAAAAGAACCAGCAGTGCTAAATGCAATCCAATTCATAAATACTTCTTGTAACGAGGAGTGATTTTTCTTTTCGTGGAGACTGCAACCGCGTGGGACTGGGAGCAGCCTTTTTTAAAAATTTTTCTTGAGCTACGATTGTAGGTGGTGAAATATTTACTCGTAAGATCACATACGACTAATTATCAATCGTGTGCTCGTTTGTGATCTCAACAGTCTGTTGTCGGAACAAAAGTAGTTGGAGGTAAATTAGGGTGAATGGATTGAATTTGCAAAAGAGAACCAGGAGTATTCCAAGGTTACTATGATTGTGCAACTTGCATTCTTCGCAAAAAATTACTGAAATCGTGAAAACAAGTAAATTTACAAGGGTAATTATCGTCTTTAATTCATAGTTTAATGGGAGTTAAGATAGAATTTGTTCAGACGATCTATTTATTTTTGCTAAGTGAACAATCTTAGCGACGTTGGGATACTCCTGTTTCTTTTTTGCAAAATGCAATCCAATCATGTTCCCTCATCCAAATTCACTCAAAACGTGGTAACCGAAACTTGCATTTGTAATATTTATTTCACCATTTTTAGTTTATATCACATAAATAGATAAAGTTTACATTGAATTACGTAAAGTTTATACTGGCACCTGTTTAATTCACCCCTGTCGTGCGCAAAAAATCCCTTTAAACCAACGTAAATTAAGTCGATCATAAAGAGTTGCCATACATTAAGTATCTAGCTGACTCAGGTTTTACAAGGCTTCCTACTCTTTTTGATATTCAATACTTATGAAAGTATACGAGCAATTCGAAACCGAAATTTAAGATCTTGATGCCAAGTAACCTTGAGCTCTTTTATTTNGGGGGGGGGGGGGGACGGAAAATTTGAATCGTCACGCATTGTGTAAATGTCTCTCTGTAAATTGTGTCTGTGAGTAGATTCCGGACCAACCAGCCGGCTGAGTATTGAAATTGATAGGGAAAGCGATAGACTAAGAAGACATTGGTAGTATGGAGCGATCCTATTGATTCAAATGGGTGGTTCTTTAGGCTCAGACAGAAAATTATGGATTAACTAGGGACTATCGTGGGTTACCGTTGGTTAGTCTGTTACCTTTCTTTGCAACCACCCACTTCTACCAACAGAATCCCTCGCAATCCATTTTTTCTTCTTTGTCCATCAATTTAACAATCAGCCTGGTGTACGTTGACGTCCCTTAGTTTACGTAAATTCGTGAGCCACGCACTGCTCATTTTCTGCAAAAAAGCAGGGACCTTTACCCACGTCGTGCTGCACTCATATCACTAAGCTTCTCGCTTTTAAAGTCTTCACCGACTCGGTAACCGACTCGATGCCGAATGGTGGAATTTGAGGGAGTGCTCCTATACATTTTGATATCGGCCAGAAGTGCGTATACACAAGCACACGTGTCATTCCTGTCGGTTCAACCTCTCCATTGTGTCCGGGGCCATATCTCCGCCTCTCTTTGCTCCCTGCCCTCCTGCTCTCCAGGCAACTCGGATGCCCCATGACAGTGGCGTAGCGTGAATTGCGATACATCGATTGTTATGTCATTTAAACCTATGGTAAAGAATCGATTAAAAGGTGTTCGCTACGAACACCCTGTTTATCGATCCTTTTCCACAGGTTTAAATGGCATAACAATCGATGT